TTCTTAGAGCTAATAAGAATTAATTCTACTAATAAAGTCTTGTATTTTTAGCCTCTATATGTAATGGGCGGGCCCAACGGGCCGAGCGTACGACTACTTACGCCATCCATACCCAAAAAGGCAGTAACAAGACTTCAAGCTTCTTGAAGTCCAGGTAGTCGTATAGATATACTCGCTTAGAAGCTAAGCTGTACATACGTAGGCGTAGCCTCTTACACTATAGGAAAACAATAATTAAGCTAACATACGTAACTAATTATAATATGTAGCTAAAGCTGCAATAACTATAAACGTCTCCGCGAATATAAGCTAACGTGTTTCACCAGTAAGCGGGCCACCCTAGTATGTAGGTTACCTCCCTAAACTATTATATCTTTATAATAGTATTACGCAACACTACTATAATATTTTTTACTAAGTAGAATAAGATATTATTCTTTAGACGTATTGCTATCCTCTATATCCTCTAATTCTACTTAACAAGTGCAAGAGTTGTATCTAATTTAGCTACAACGCCTGCAGCGCTATTCACTACGCACCCTCTTTGCAGATGTTGCACTATTATTATAGCTATCACCCTCTACCTTAGCAATCTAATTAGCTATCTAGCTAACTATTTAGGACCCCTCTGCCTGTACGTAGCGCCTTTTACGAGTTTTTCGCTTTATTACTTTAGTAATTGTAGCTTTAAGGCGATTAAGTCTCTCCTATATTAACACTATATTATAAGCTATCTACTTAGCTCCCTTACTTAACTACTATATCTACTTCTTAAGAGAACCTATAGGAGACCCTTGCTAGATTTATATATAGTTTTAAATAAGCATAGCCTGCGCCTCTATTTCGCGCGCGTTACGCGGCGTTTTTAGCTCTTAAGTAGTAGTTTCTTACGCTAGTAGAGTTAGCGTATATAGTATAACATTAAGCTATAATAAAAATACTTTATAGTTATATAGTGAAAGTCTAGCATCTTAAAACCCTCTATAGATATTTTCTAGTGTAATAGCCTTATAATAGGCCTTTTTAAACGCTAGTAAAAAAGTTTCTTTACTAATATAGTAGATGCAATTGCGTGCTAAGACTAAGATAGTATTACTATACGCGCGCTTTAAAAGCAAAAAGCAGCCTATATTAAGAGGCTATAAGAGGTGCGACGAGTGGGGAGGCATATAAAGAAGGATTATCTTCATCTCTTGGCAGAGATCTTAGAAATCCACTAAGTAGTAGCTCTTATAGCTATTAATAATAAGCAGCCTATGCGTCCCTATAGGCCGCGCATAAGAATTAAAGTAACAAAGCTAGTTAAGCGCTAGATTGTTGTTCGTCTAGCTAGTAGGACTAACTTAAATTACCTAGTCGCGTGGCAGATCCTTTGTAAACTAGGTAGAGATTAAAACCTTACTAGCAAAGATAAGAAACACTAAGATACGCGTGCCTATTGCGCTAACGCCTTATATTAGTGTAACCTACTTACAATTACCTAGCTAGATCTTCTTTTTTCTCTCTAGTTTATCTAAGCTTATAATAACTAACTATAATAAAATTTTGCCTATAATAAAGCTAGTCTTATTAAAGTTATAGATATCTTTATCTATAATACTATACTTTGCCTTTATATTCTAAACTAGAGTAAACTAGCCCTTAATAA